CTGCTCTGTCATCGCTCATGGAGGCATGGACCCGAATTTCTGCCTCTCCTTTCAGTGGCCAGCAATGGGCTGTCCAGCAAAGGACCTTGCACAACCTATCAGGGACTGGTCTGGCACGCAGTCAGCGTGAAATCCTCAGGTTGGTTCTCTTCAGATGTGGGAGCAGCCTCCCTTCGGGGTCTCCTCAAAGTGCCCAGGGCTCTCCCCAGCCCTGCCCGCCCCTGGCCTTCTGAACACCTGTCACGTGGATCACAATCTTGTCGCTCTTCTTGTCTCAACTAGAAGCAACCGCAGGATGGCCCTTCCTGATTTCCAGGTGCATGTCGAAAAGCGTGCAGTGGCCTCGTGATGTGGTCAGGCCCTTGGCAAGGAAGTCCTGGCGGGTGTCAGCCTCTGCACTGCACCCTGAGTGGACTGAGTCAGGGCCAGGATTGTGTCAGGGGAGCTGGAGGAGCCACGGGACCGCAGGTTCACAGAGGCCTGGATGGAGCACTCCGGGGCCAGAGTCGTTTGCAGACTTGGTACAGATTCAAAGACTTCAAAATGCCTGGGGCTACATAAGGGGCAACACTTCCCAGACGAGGGCCTCTGGAAGGGGCATTCCTTGACACGGAGATGGAGGCGGCAGTGCCTTTCACCCTCTCTGGGAGGACTTGTGCTGTGCTCGGCCTTGGTGTGCAGAGATGAGCAGAAGGGAGGTACAGCCTCTGCCAGACGGGTATGTGGGGAGCAGGGTTGTGGCCAGGGCCACCGCTCTGCCCTCTCAGGATTGCAGAGCTGGAGCCCCCCCCCAGCTTCTCATGTGAGTCTGAGTCGTCCACAGAAGCCACCGAGGCCATCAGGAATGAGCCCCTGGTGCCCCGCTGCCACCCGCAAGGCACTCCATGAGCTGGGCCTGGGCTCAGTGTGCAAGGGACATCTCCTCTCAGGTGACCGTGGGCTCAGATCTGCCATCACCCTGGAGAATGGGGTAGGGGGCAGGGGCTGCATGAAGGAAAGTCTACCCCTCGACAGGAGGTGGGACCGGAGACCTGAGCCTGAGACCCTGGCCACCTGCTGACCAGCAGTGCAGTTGTGAGCACGCCATCTGCAGTGACACACACAGCCCCTGGGTCCTGCTCGGGCCTCCGTGGCCTGACTTGGGGGCTGTGTGGAGCTCAGGAGAAACCCGAAGTCCAGCCAGCTGGGCGCCCCCCCACAGACACCTCCTGCACACACAGGCAAGGGGGCCTCCTGTGTCTCACTTATAATCACACCGGAGGGCAAACTCTGTGTGGTGAGCCTGACCCCAGCCAGCCCCCCACGAAAGGTCACCACACCCAGCTGGTGGGTGGTGCGGACTTGGGTGTCTGGTGGGGCCAGGGGATGCACAGAGCTGGGTTCTCGGGAGACAGTGCCAAGGCCAGCTGTCCCAAAGGAGGCCCCTGGCACAACGCCCACCAGGTCTGAGGGAGGGACTGAGACCACCTCAGTGCTGCAGTTCCTGGGGTCACGTGAGTCCACCTGGGGAAAGGGGCAGTGGACCCCACGCGGTGCACGGTGCGGCTTTGCCAGCAGAGGGAGCCTGCATGCGGCTGGGCCCAGGGCTATGGGTCGTGGCAGAGGCTGTGGTGGGAATGGCCCTGCAGAGGCCCCAGCCCCCTTGTCCTCTGCATTCCAGCCACCTGCCCTGGGCGCAGCCCCACAGGAAGGGGGCCCAGGCTCTCTGAATAAAAGGTGCACAGGGGGACCAACGAGGCCTGGCACTGGGAGGGGACAGCTCCACCTCCTCTCCCCGGACACCCCAAACGGCAGAGAAGAACTTCACAAGCTGTCCTGTCCGTGGCTGCTATTTGTGGAGGAGAAAAGCATCCTGAGGAGACTGCAGGCTCGGTGTACATCTGATTTACTGAATTTTAAAGTCTGGGACGTTAGTGGGGAAGAGGGGAGGTGAGCATTGCGTGACGCCACAGTCCTGGGAGCCAAGGACTAGGCCGGGCAGGGAGTGTGCCTGGCTAGGCACCCCCACCCTGGGCAACTCGCCCGCGGGCCCCAGGGTAGTGAGTAGTGACAGCATGTGGCCCAGGGGCGAGACCTCTCACAGCCAAAAGATGGTGTGGTCGCTGGGGCCTCCCTGGAGAGCGTGGTCCCTGCAGCCCCTGGGAAGCGCTCCCACACAAGGCTTCCTGTCAGTGCGGTCCCGGGGCCTGACCGTGGAGGTGGGTGGGTGGGGTCACCTGTCCTCAAGGTCCTGAATGCCCGGCTCTGC